TAGGACCACTCTGAAGTTGCAAAATTAGGACAGAGCCCATATTATTTAGCCACCAAAGGGAAGGTGAAGCTGGTAGCTCTGACATAAGTGCGGGCTTTCCTAAAAAACAAACCCTGAAGTTGTACTTTGGGGTGTTCATCCCACCTTTATCCAGCCTTCATTGGGACAAAGATAGACCTCATGGAGTCCCACCTAGATTTCAATGTTAGGAGTCTTGGAAGATTGTAGGTGCAGATTTTATGGGCAAACCCTATACTACTTTAGAGGGAGGCACTGCTGGGGACTACCCATATCAACTAGTAACACTGTGTTGTCTCAAGTGGTCAAATTACACGATGGCTTTGCTGACCAAACTCCTTTCAGAAATGCAGTTTCAGCTGTGGATTTTGCCCGAAGGGAAGCTGAGTTCCCAGGAGGAAGCGTATTTCAAAACACAGTCAGTACTACAATAGAATGGAGGCATCATCTATTTTAGGATTTTACACAGGTCACAAATAACTTGGGAAGCTTTTGGCATGTGCAAAATTTATAATCCATGTACTGCATTCCCAACAAATGACTAGAAATGAAGTGCACAGCTACACTTCAATCTAAGTCTGCCAGTGCCCTCGCTGCACCCTGTGGCCTTTTTAATGGTGTTAGAAGTCTCTCTTTGAATCCATTTTTCATTTTGTTAAAGGAAATTTAGACACAAACATCTGAATATTTTCAAGTACAGTTTTGTAGATACAAACATCTGAATATTTTAAGGTATAGTTTTGTATTCTATTTCTGTTCCTATTGAAGTATCCCAGATATTATATCCATGATTTAACAGCCTGTGATGTGTGTAAGGAAGAAAATAAAGAAAAAGACCATAACAGACAATTACAAGTCCAGTTAAGCAAAGAGGTTCTTAAAACTGGCAAGTACTTGGGTTTATGCTTTTATTGCCACTATCATTTTAGTTATTTTATGATACCCAGTTAGGGACATTATCTCATTGTTCTAAGCTTTGTTCTAATTTATACTGGTGGCATTTCAGGGAGTGTCAGGGAGATAGAAACCTTTTTCTTAAGCACCTCTGTGGCTGAAATGAAATGTCATTTGCCTTTCAGATGATCTAGAATTGAGAGAGTTTTCTGGAAAGAGAGCTTTATATCTCTGCAATGCAGCCAGGCAGTGCTAGCTCTGAAACAACTGCAACCATGGATGCAGTTCCAGATCCACATGAGGTTTCTACACATGGATGCTGTGGATTTCAGCCTTGATTCTGCAAATCTTACTTAGCTCAGTAGCTCACAGAAGCAGCACTGCAGCTGGTGCTCTGACTGGCTTGAGAAGATCCCTGTGGGCTTTGCACACACTCTTTTGCTTTGATCATTTTTTTTAATGTTGCAGTGAACTGCAATACAGTGATATTTCTCATTCTTTCACAGCAACTTGTGGGAAAATTTTTTCTGTCCTTTCCCAGTGTATGTCAGAGGCAGCAATAAGTCATTAAGGGACTAGCAGAACTTGGCTGGCTCTAGCCCCTGCCTGCACTTCAGAGCAGGCAGATTAGCTGCTGATGTCTGCAGCAGGCAAGCTGTACTAGCAGGGGTTTGTAATATATGCCCTATTAGTAATCATCAACTTGCCACATCACTTGCAAAAGTTTAGCTGTTTTTTCCACAGGAAAAAGGAACAAGAAGAATATGAGTCAAGTGGCTGCAACACTACAATACATTTCTGTTTTTCTGAAAATATCATGCTGATGACATCCTGTAATCTCAATGATGGAAATACTTCTCTGATTGGTGAAGAACATTAGCAAACAGCCCAGCTAGGTAGTCAGAAATGCCCTTTTTAATATAAAAATCAATGAAACAGTACTGAACACATGCACAGATGTTTCCAACTGGGTAACATACTTTGAAAGCACCCAGGAAATTTAGCTGTTTCACCTATGAAAAGACACTTATTTATGCTAAGGTACATTGTGGTTCCTAGTAAATGCACTAAAGCCTATGAAATTATCCAATATAATCTGTCTTTCCTACAAAAATAATCCATTACTTGACCCACATGGGTTTCCAAAGACACAACTTTGTTTTGCAGCAAGGTTGTCACTACAGCTTTTAGTTTCTGTATTTCCACTGAGAGACACATGAGGCTGAAGACAGCAAAGATACTAACATTGCCTTCCAGACAGACCAAAAAGAGCCTCCTGGGAGTGCTTTGGGGAAGCATGATCCTGATGCTGCTGAGGATGGACTGAGGTAACTGCCCTTGCTTGACAGTCTGATCTGTCAGCATTCAAAATACCCCATTCCTCTTTCTCTGCAATTTTTAAAAATTAAAATAATCAAATGCATGCCAAACTGCCTTTTTATCACTCTAAAGTCTTAATTACAATGTAATGTGGCCAAGAGTCATGTTGCCTGTACTTTTATTTGCTTTAGAAATTGTAATTGTGTACACACCACTGAGTGGCTTTCTTGCTCTCAAGGGACAGGGACGAGTTGTTAGCCAAACGTGTCAAAAACAGTTGATGGGAATCTGAGTGGGAAATACTAGAGCCTATGAAGAAAGACTAAGAGAGAAAAGAGGAAAGGATATAGCTTCACATAAGAAACATGAGACAGAAGTGCAGCAAATATATAGAACAAACACGTTCCTCTTTTTCCTTCCAGTTTCCCTATTTAGGTTTATGTTTTCATAATGGATGAGTGAGCTGGGCTAAGTCAACAGAATGGGGCAAAACTGCCAAATATGCAGAGCAGGATAAAACAGGAGAGAATGTTTACAGTCCATGTGGTATTTGAAAGACCAAAAGTGGCACACTCAGGAAGGAGAAGAAATGGAAAGAAGTATAGTACATACTTTAGACATGAAAGCAATGAAAATCCTGTTAAAAAGTATGACTTTGCCTGTTGTTGACTAAAGTTCAGGAAAAGCTGATGATGGACAATAGTAACAGCTCTGGGACCTGAGTCAATGTTCATGAAAACACAGACAGTCTTTGCCCATGCAAAAAAAACCAACCCATTATCAGTTTTCCTATCACTGGACTAGACAAATCCATGGCACCTCTGAGCACATAGGACATGCCTGGGTAGCCTCAATTTCTGGACTTTCATAATTCAAACTATCTATATCCATTAGACACTATTACTAATCCTTCAAGTTTTTGTAATTTTTTAACAGAAAAATCTTAAAGGTATTGTCAAGTCTCACCTTTGACACTTCTTTCTGGTGTTACTGTGTATCACTATGACATCATATTAAGGAGTATCTCCTAGAAAATTTTAATAGGTCAGTCACCAGTTTCAAAACTCAGAGCTCCTCTTTACCTTCGTGTAGCTACAATGTTGTAACTTTGCTTTTTTCCCCTCACTGTTTTATGAAGCACATAAAGGTACATTACCAATACTAAGCAACCAGTTCAGTTTTTTAATAAACTCAGTCATTCAAGTATTTTAAATCTGTCAACAAGCTGATCATTAAATGAATCATTGACCTATTTCTCAGCTATCTGAGCTAAAAAACCTATAGCTGATGACCTATAAAAGCATCAGTGTGTTAAGAAAAATCATTAGCTGGAGAAGTAGACCAACAATTGGTCACTTCCCACCAATCTAAGCAGAGTCACTAGTACCAGCAACAACTGGCAACAACTTCACCAGAAATCCGATTTTGACATAGACTAATGTCTAGGGGAAGTACCACGAAGCTGCTGAACAGGCAGCATTTGTCCCTTCTTCCTGAGTTTCTTACTGGAAAATTTTATGCAAGTATTTTAAATGGATCAAACCTGGGATGCTCCAGAGCAAAATTTGGAGTGCAGATTCTCCTGGAGTCAAAGGGATGAGTTTTAGACCCAGCAATTATTTGTACAGTGGAAAAAACCAAACCTATGGTCCAACACCCTCCCTGCTTGCTAGCAGGTATGCTTTAGATCCAGGTCCAAATCCAGGGCTGTGGCTAGGCCCAACCCATATTGCAAGAAGATTGAAAATGTTGGGTTTAATGTTGAGCTCAGCCGTTGCTCTTATGCAGTGACAGGCAACACATGGAAGGTCCTGGTCAGCCCTCACATATTTCTGAGTGACTGGACGGTGGTGGGTGGTGGAGACAGAGGACAGGGCAGCATTGGGGGGCAACAGCTGTGCCCCATGGTTTGCATGCCCAGCTAGAATGCTGGTGGGGAGCAAAACTCAAGAGCAGTGAAGAAGGGAGGCAGGATTACCTGCCCTTGCCAACTGTGGCACTGTGATCTCCCACGCCAGGCACTGCACTGTGGTGGGGCTTGAGACCTTCTGTCCCCTATCCCACTGCAACACTGGTGTCTAAGCACTTTCTAGCTAACTTGAGACCTTCTGTCCCCTATCCCCACTGCCACACTGGTGTCTAAGCACTTTCTAGCTAAGTCACCTACTCCTAACAAAAAATGATGTGTTTTTCTGCTTTTTTCTCTTCCTCAGCACAAACCAGCCCAGAATACTCAGTTACAGGCTGCTAAGAGAGCCAGTCATTTATCCCATTTGCTGGAGACAGCCTACCTGGGGGCTGCCTTCTGGTGTCAGAAATGCACACAGTGTCCCACCACGCTGGGGGGAGAATTACAGCTTGAAAACCAAGGCAGGAGGGGAGGCAATATTGAAATTTGCTTGCTCAACCACCCTGAAAAGTGACATAAAACCTTCCTGCTAAGAGGCATACATTTTGTGTCTGATTTGTATTTGCATGATGTCTGTCCCTGTAGTACTGTGTATAGATGAAGTCAGAAGGTAATAAAGTCAGGAGTGAAAGGAATGGAGGAGAGCAGGAGCTCTCTCACCTACAGCATTAAGGTGCTTCAGCCAAGTTAGTGCTTGAAGAGCAACTTCTGCTTTTTTTTCCTTCTTCTTTCTTTTGCAATCATTGCTCGCTTGACAGGCCCAGACGGAATTACATCACTTCCTAAAACCCATCAAAGAGAGTCCATCTCCTGAAGAAATGCAGCTCAGATGCACCCCGGCAGGAAGCAGGAAATGTAGATGTTCGGGTGCCGCACGGAGGCTGCGGGAGCTCCCCGGGGTGGGAGCAGTGCCAGGGCAGCATGCGAAGCCCGAGCCTCGTCGCCCTGCTCTCTGCCCTGTCGCTGGCTGGAGGATCTACCGACAGTGGTGAGTAAGAAAGTGCGTTTTGCCTGCCGAGCTGGGACTGTGTTTCATGCCTGCAGCGACGGGACCGAATTGGAGGGCAACACCCTCCAAACTGAGTGCTGGGAGAAGATCTGTGGGGACTTGCTCTCTGCTGCTTTTAGCTGTGTTTACCCATTCTATTTTCAGCTGCCTGACTTTTTCAAAGCTTTGATATTATTTCCTTAGACCTAACCCCAAACAGCAGCAACCAAATACTACAATTCCTACAGTTCTGAAATTGCAGGTGTGTAGGGAGGTGTGGAGGGAACCGGAGTTTCCATGTCGACCCGTCAGGCATTCTGGTTCTAATTTTAGTTATTTGTTGAACTTCTTTAAGCCCACACCCATAACTATCAGCATTCAATAGTAAAGTTAAAGGCAGAGCACTGCTGCCATTCAAAAACTGACTGTTGATTTCCTCAGTCCCGGTGCACTGAAACCAGTTTAACAAAAGAACAGCCGGTTCCAGAGACAAATATTTTGAATTCTTAGTTGCAGAACAAAGCAGCCAGCACTATAGATTTAGGTCCTGACCTTCTGAAGGGAAGAACCATGAGTGGAAAAGCCACAGAATGTTGTTGCAGAGGCTCTTAGCCGTTGGCAGGGGGTCATTGGTTCCACTGGTGTTTTGGCAGCCAGTGACCGCACACAGCAGGCAGCTCCTGTAGTTAAACCTTGCCAGGCAGTGCTTATAAACCTTTTAGAGTCAAACAAATCCCTGCCAAAGTTCCACAGTATGGACTAGAAATGTTTGCAGACCTCCATGCTGCTGTAGCGAGTGGGAGTTCTAGGGAAAGCAGGGAGAGAGGATGGTCACTCCCAGCTATCCTGGACTTTTTCTCTTAAGGTCTTTAAGTGCTTTGCCAGAATGGGTGTTTTGGTGTAGGTACTTTTTCCCTGAGAACCGATACTGTAACCAGGGTGTAAAGCTGAGCTGAGGCTCCCAGTGTGCTGCTGAGCTGCTTGCAGTTGGGAGTCTTGCTTAGCTGCAAGAGTGAGCTAAGTGAGGTATAAAGTGGTTTGGTCTTGTCTGAGTTGCTGCATTGCAGACACATGAGGAAAATATGCTGCAAGCATTGAGCGCAGCTCAGGATCAAAGCATTCAGAGGAAAAAAATCCTGCCATGGGCAGAGCGAAACGGAGGTCCCAGGGAAACGGAGGAGCGCAACACAAGTGACTCAGAGTGATCAGGCTCCTGTTTCCTTAGCTCCTGTGCAGTGCACTGATCACTGCAATTTCGTCACCACCTCCCCAGGGTGGAGGGGCACCTTAGTCCCAGCTCCCTCAGCCCGTGGCTGGGCACCCCCTGCCCTTCTTGCAACAGGCATTAAAGGCTGCATGAAGCACTGGGCAGATGTCACATACCAGGTGCCCCAACCCACTCCCCACTGCTTTCAGAGGATTCCTACTGGTAGGTCCACCTTTAAATTCTGGTTGATTTTGAAATGGTTTCTCCTGAGTTAGCCCTGCCAGAGCCCTCCTGACTCTCTGGAGCCAGTCTGCAGTGGCTGGGGAAGGGGAGGCGAGCACCCACCTTTCCTCCCCATACAAAGGCAGTTTTGCTTATACCACCAGCCCCAAAATGTACCTGGGGCTTACTCTAACTGCAGGGGTGGCAGAGGGAAGCTGTGAACTTGGGCCTTGATGGGGAAAATTGAACTGGTGGGGGAAAAGTTTATGCAGGGTTTAAGTACCCCACAGGCAGTGTTGGATCTGAAGCCTTTCTGCTGAGGGCAGCCTCCCAGGGAGATCCTTTACTCTCACCTCTCCTTGCTCCCAGATCAACAGGGCACGACCTTTAAAGCAGCTTTTTTCCTTTTACCTACAGTCCCAGATGCAGTCCTCACCTTTAAAGTGGTCTGCTGTCTAGATACCATTCACCAAATAAGCAAACAGAGTATGATTAAATCTTGCAGCATACACAGATTAAAGTCTTTATAAGTCCTGTTCCCATACCATGCTGGAACCTTGTAAAACCCAAGCCTTGCCATTTGGATTATGATTTACAGATGATTTTCTCCCAGCTAGGCTGCAATTACTCTAATCCAGTAGCTCTAAGAGCATGCCTGAGGTCTGAGCTCTGGGTGCTGGCCTTCTCCCGACTCCATACTGAGGGGACATAGGGGTCTGCAACAGTTGCCTTCCACTTGCTTTATGCAGCCATAAAGTCCTACAAATGACTGTCCCTTCCTACTGCAGGTGATGGTGCTTACTGCTCAGCATTGCAACAGCCCAAAAGACCTACCTATGTGTGTGCTGACCCTAGGAACAAGCATTAAGATCCTTACCTAAGCTTATAGGAACAGGCTCTGAGCCTGTGGGCATTTCCCAGCGTATGCCATTTCCCACTGTGGGAAACTGCAGCATAAGTGGTCTGACATGGGGAGCAAGAAAATGTGTGAGGGAGAGGAACAGTAAAACGTGTAAGATCACTAAGTGGAAGAGCTAGGCATAGTTGCAGGTCGTGGTTTATTTTGTCTGTATCTCTGAGCTATTGTTTTGAGCTGTCATTCAAAAAAACATTGCTATCAAAAGTCCAGTTATTCAGCAGCTTGTACCATGAGCACAGGCAGCAACTCTCTCCTTGCCAGAGAAGTGCCTTTTAGGTTAAGACCCCTACAAAGCCAGGGTCTCTAAGAGATTGATTGTTTTGACCTGTTCCCCCCTAGAATAAAGAACTCACGAATGTGTTCGAATCCATTAGAATTGTCTGTTGCAATTTTCTAGCAAAGCAACAATATAAGAAATGAGGATTTCCTATATCCTTTCTTTTCAAAGTGCAGTCCCCTATAAAGCAGATGAAAAATCCTTTCTACTGGATGCATCAATTCCTCCTATAGATTCACTCTTATGCCTCGCTTTTATCCATACACACAAATATTCACTGTGTTTTATTCAAGCGCTCCAGGGACATTTCAGAAAATCTCTCATTTACATCAGCAAGATTATATACTAAATTTCAGTCAGTGACACCAATATCTTTTCTCTCAAGAGATTTTATGATAGCTGGAAAGCCTCTGGAGCTTTTGAAATTTTAATTTCAAGGTCCTCCTGAGAGCCAGGAGCACCAAGAGGTTTGGATCACAGTGAGGTCACACGGGTATCACTGATGCAGAGCTAGAAGGCCATGAGATTAAGTAGATGCAACTAAATGCATAAATTGATCTGGAAAACCTTTCGAACTGGGGGTGAGAAATGAGACTACAGATCCACAGTTTGACTCTAAGACGTGTGACTGAATTTGCACCACCAGCAGTTAATGCAGCACTTCAGCTGGATGGAAATACAGTGAGGAAAAGCAGTTTCCATCATCTATAAATGAGCTTAAACAGTTGTTTCCTCTTTCAGGTTAACCCAGATAATGCTTTCTAAGCACCTCGTTTTAATAGGATCTTGTCTACAGATTAGCCATCCTGAAATGCTTGCACTCCCTCATCAGAAGAGTGTATGCACCCAACAGCTAGCCTGCAGGCTTTTGAGGATTCCTCTTCCAGCCAGACTGACAGGCAAGACCTGTCACAACAGGCAGCTGGGCAAGCCCCAGCCACAGCAGGGAACAGCCCTTCTTACGTCAACTTGAAATGCAGGGAGAGGAACAGCACAGGGATGAGCCAGGCAACGTGAGAGGATCATACGGACCATGTGGAGTGGTGTGACTATACCAACAGGGGGAATGTGTGTACAGAGCAGAGTGATATAGGATGTGGTAACTTTATGCCAGCTTTATAGCCTTTTCTTGTTCTGTCACCTTCTCATGAGACTTCCTTTCACTGCATTTTTATACCTTCTTATAGATTACGGGAAGTTTGGGACACAAAAATTTTCCTTTCAAACTAGTAAGCAGGTACCATAGAGTAATTTGAAAAATTCCCTTCAGAGACCCCAGTCCTCAAGTGTGATGGTAAGGCAGCACAGACAGTGATAGTTTTACAGCAGAACCACATGTGCTGACTGCTGGCTATTTTTCTTTGCTATTTTCCTTTGCCTTGCATCCAGCTGTATTCATAAACCTGTTTGCCCACTTACTTCCTTACATGCCACCTCTGAGTGCAGCAGCACAAACCTCAGAGGAGGAAATGCTGCAACAACAGAAATGTTGTTTGTGTAATTGAGATGTAGTGTTTTGGACTCCATCTCTAAGGCCACTTGGTATATTCAATTTCTTCTGTCTCCTGTGAAAAGCAGACCTGGGAGCACCTCCAAAACTCAAGCAAAGTCCCTCAGTGGTCCATGCATACTTTTAAAGTAGAAAATACTGAATGATACCTTATACCACAGTGTCTGCATACAGGGACATAGCTGTTTTATAATATTTAAGAAGTGTAATTGAACCTTTTCTGAGATGCTGATAGTGCTTGCTCAGATATTTTGGTTTCCTGAGGACTAGATCCTCTAATACCTCAATGGTGGAAAACTCAGGACTCCTTAGCTTCCAGCTCCAGCTTCTTAGCTTCCAGCTCCAGCTGTGCCTATCTCCGCACCGGGGTGGGATGTAGCTGTGTGCCTGCCCCTCTCGCTTCTACTCTTGAAAGCATGAAAAGTGACAATATGGGCTGGCCTGAAGCTGTGGTGTGTGCCCACCCACTTCCCTCAACTTGGGAAGAAGTCACCAGGAGTCATGCCCCAGGCGGTTCAGACAAAGGTGAAGCCAATGCTGTTGTTGTATGAGCACATGCCCCTTGGACAAGATGTGCAGAGGGAGGAGTATGGATGTTGGACTGTAGCCTACAACATGAGGCTGAGCTCAGCAAGAGAAAGGGCACAGGCTTTGCAAAGTCAAGGAGATATCTATATGGTTGGATATGACTTGCTCCTTGTTGCACTCCATTGGCCTCAGTTTTCCATCCTGAATGTTATGTTATGTTACAGTCATATTTCCATTTTCAGGGAGCTAGTAGATCTCTGCAAATCCTGGCACAGCTGACAAGACAGTTCATGGTATGAATGACCACTGCAAATCCGGTGTAGAAAAAGATGTTTGAATAGCATCTCACAAAATCTTCAGCTTTCAGGTGCTTTTCTGCACTGCTCCAAACCTTGCAACACCCAGCTTTCATTCACCCTACAAAACAGCCATGGGGGCCAGCTGCATCACACTCCACTCACTGTTTTGAGCACTTTAAATCAAAACATTATGAAAAACAGCAGCTATCTTGGAGCTAACCATGTGGGTCTCATGTGGCCCAGACAACTGGCTGGGTGAGTGCTGCAGCTGCACTGGGAAGCCTGAGCCTGTCCCTCCCTGCCAGACTGGAGGTACAAATCCTTCCCTGATGCAAACCACTGGGACAACCCAGGTGCAGATTGTTCTTTCCTACTGTGTAAAAAGTGTGATGTGTCGGTGTTTTGAGAGTGAGAGTGACTGCCGTGTGACAGGTAGAGCATCCCTTGGATCCGAGCTCTGGTCCTCAGAGGTGACAGGGGAGGGAAATGTGTTGAGGCAGCAGGTGAAACACAGGAAATAAGAGCAATGTCCTTGCAAGAACATTGTGCAATTGGCTGCCCTTCTGCTGGAAAATGTATTTAATTCACTCAGAGAAAAGATCTCTGTAAGAGGAAAGGGTGTTCCCAGAGAGACGCTGTTTTGTCCCTGGAATTATGCAAAATGAACAAAAATACGTGGCTGCAAGGTCACTCCCCATGATTTACCATTAGCTTTGCCTAGAGACTAGAAAAGGTAATTCTATTTCACACAGAGGCGAGTGATTTGAAGTCTGCTTCATAGCTCAAAACCAGGCAAACTACCACAGACACTGGAACAGCCTCTCTCAGAAATCAAGCATGTCTTACAATGGAGCTGAAGTTTAGCGCTGCAGTTAATGAAGTATGACTGTTTGCTTTTGCTTTAAAGCCACACCATGCTTTAGACATTTGAAAAATCCATTTTAGCTGGAAGAGTAAATGAGAAATAAGGTATTTTCTCCACACCCTCTGCTATTTTAAGCAACAGGCTTGTCCCTCTGAATATATCAAATGTGGCAGGCAACGGGTTTCAAGGGCGATGGCTAGAGGAGGCAAGTGAAGCAAAGTCATTGAAGAGGTTCAGTGAGGCTGCCCTGGGCCATCAGCTCTGCCAGTGGCATGGTCCATCACGCCACAGTCCGTGGCACTGACATCTCTAGTTCTACATTGCTGCTCTGCACAACAGCAATTGAAATGGAGTGGCTGCAGGCACTGGGAACTATAAACTACACTGGAAAGACAAGTCAAATGGCCAAACCAATAAGGGAGAGGAGCTCTCCCTCCTGTCCTCTGTGATAGGATTAAGGACAACCAGCAGATCATGGGAATGGATGGAGGAGGACATGCATAAGGGGTCATTACCTTCAAGGGAGGCAGAGGTAGTGTTTTGCTCTTGACTGAAACACTAAACACAAAGAAAGTGACAGAGCAACTATTTATATGAAGTGCTTTGCCACTGAAGAGCTATCATTTTCATTGCCCTATTGTGATGCAGGACTCTGGTGACCTTCACAGCATTGAACACTATATTCAAATATTAGGTATTATTTATGAAGTATTCAAATTCTTTCCTAGTTTTTAGGAAAGCATGAAACAATCAGGTGCCTGAGTGGTAAGTGCAGCAAAAAAATCTAGATAAAACACTGCTGTTACACTCAAATAATTTTAGTCATTCAAAATTGGATTTCTTGGGATAGTCTCATGAAATACTCATCTCCTCTTCAAGACAAATCTGATGGGAGAGGAGATGCTGCAGAGTGGATTAAGCAAGAGATAGCGCTCTAATCCCAATTTTCCTCTCTCTCTTGGTGTCCCCGGGAAGGACAGCATCCCTGTCCTTCTGATTTCTCATTTGTAAAATGGAGATGATAACTACTCATCTCTCAGGACCATTAGAAAGATTAATGTGTTTACAAAAGCATTTAAAATGCTAAGTACTTTTGGTTCCAGTCCTGTGAGACTGGAAATGCCAGCACTGAGGTGCTTAAAATCTTAAGCTCTTGCTAACTCTAGTGGAAACTATGGCTGCCCAGCACTTTACAAGATCAGGGAGAAACATGTAATTATGAAAGTCAAGAAATCCCATCCTGCTTTATTGCATAAAATGAGACCTGCACTGTGCTGGCATTGTATCTGAAAGGGCAGATAACACAAAACTCCTGCCATTTAATTTCATGCTAAGAAAATTATTGAAGGCTTTACATTTGGAAACATACTGGTGTAATTTTTCTGAGGACTGATTCCTGCACTTTTGGCCACAACAGGATTTTTGGCATCACTACAGAATACAGTATCAGCCCAGAGTCTGCTGTACTTCTGTTAAGCTTTACAGTCTGTGACAGTCTCTCAATTAACCTCACAAAAAGCGCTTGTTTCACTATTACCAATATAGCCAATTTTAGCCACTTTTTTTTGCAAAATGCATGATAAATGAAACTAAACCCAAAATGTTCATTTTTTCGAGGTTCAAAGCCCCCAGTCTTAGCATTTCTGAGGAATAACAGCACTGATGCTTTACCATAAACTCCCTCAGCCAGTCCATAGAATCAGACAGAGGAACAGTGAATTGCACTTGTATCCAGTAACTACGACCTCTTCTAGTCCATGCAGAAGTGGAAGTCATCAGCTTCTGCATCCTTCAGTCTTCATTTCACCACTTCTGTTTTCCATGGTGAGACAAATTTAACAAATTTGAGAAAGCACAGAAACATGGTGTGAACCAAAGCAACTGGTGAACCAGGGAAAATGGTTTCCCTGAAGGAAGTGCCTAACAAAATGGGTAAGGGGAGGGATGTATGTGCCAAGACTGAGAAGCAAAACAGGCAGGCTGGTGTGGTTTATTGAGAAGCAGATTAATTTTACATGAGGTCAAGACCGGATGACAACCTGCAGGAAAAGAAGTCTGTTTGTGCAAGGCAGCTAAGAGCAGACAGGCCATGCATGCTGACGTGCCCCAGTAAAAGCCATCTGAGGAACATGGTCATGACTGGTAAGATTTTGTGATGAATCTGTGGTCTAATTTTAGATCTGATGCCCAAGATTTAAAATCTGTGTGTATGAGGTATCTGCTGATTTTTTTTTAAGACATCAGATGAAAAGTAAATACTAAAGCTGTACACTGTGACTCACTACTCATGATACTAAAGAAACCCATAAAACGTTAAGTTGTCCTCATATATTTGACAGACTCTGAAAATGGTGGATCAGGAGATGGATCACCAATGTTGCCCACTGTTCCAGTAACACTTCCTCCTGCTACGGGTTCTCCGACCACGAATGACCATGAGCAAGTATTTGACACTGCAAGCACTACTGAAAGCAGCTTTGAAACAAGAAGTGCTCCAAGTACTGAACTGAATGCTGTGGACAATGAGGACAGCCTAGAAGCAGCAGAGCAGTCTATCTTGATGTATGTTGTCCCTGTTGTGCTGCTGGTCCTGCTGATTTTGCTGATCATATTTTTTGTCATACATCATAAAAGGAGAAAGTCTAAGCAAGGTAAATTTGTCTTCTTCTGCATCAAAGGGATATTTCTAGGATATACTCAACATTAACAAAATGTTATTTGAAAGCCTGAGATGCCACATTCAGGATTTCCTTCTCTGGTTCTAACTGCATGTTTGACAGATAGGAAAGGGATCCTGCCTTGCCAATGGTACCTGGGCATGCACCTCTCCTTGGGCAGGAGCTAGTTCTGCTTCTTGGCACCTCCTGTTCACGCTGCACAGCCATGGGAGCTGTGGCACTGAGTTTCAGCTCCTGGCAATGCTGAGCATGCTTATGAATGTAACTGTGTGGCTGCAAATGCTTACTCTCTCTTCATGCTCTGTAACTTCATGCAAGGTGAAGTTAATGCTTCTATTCCTTACACTGCCCACAAGGCAAAGCTGCTTGGAGCATCAATGAATTAAGCATAAGCAAAACCATTTTAAGCAACAGTCTTAAGTGATCCTGATCCCATAGGGTGGTGGCAGCTGTAAATACATCACAGTAAATGAGTGAGGAATCCCATGGTCAGGCTGCCTGTGTGCTGTGGTAGAGTGAGCAGTGCTTCTGGAAGGTGCCTCGATCTGCTAGTAAAGAAATCAGTAACTTGGAGTGTCAAGCCACAAAAAATAAACTGAGGTATCATATTAAAACCATGCAGTTGGTAAGTGAAGTCCTGACATGGCCATGCCAGTGTCTCTACAGAGCCAGGGTGTAGCTCTAAGCTCCTCAGCCTGCAGACAATGCAGTACATTCAACACAGATTTTAAGTCAAATTTTCAGGGTGTTTTTAGGCTCCATTTGCCTTATCACTGGGTCACCCTCTAACAAACTCTGAATTCAGCACCAAGCACCTAGTTGCCTGCCTGTTTCTGGTTCATCTGAAATGCAGGTACACTCGTCAGAGGGATAAGAAATGTGGTGCCTTGCAGGAACACAATCCTGGGAATCTCTTGCCCTGTGCCTACTGCTTGGAGTTGGGATTTTGAGCACCCTCAAGGCTAGGACAGATGGCTCTGTGGTCCTGGGGTGGCTCTGTAGTCAGGTAATGCGCTGGAACAACTGGGAAGTGTCAGCATCCACTGGCAACAGTGAATTAAAAATAAACTGTCTTAAGACAAGCTTTTCAGTCAGTCGATTCCTGCAGGGGAAGTTATTTATCTGAATTATGTCTGTTACACTATTTTTTCCCCCCATCTTTACTTTGTCTTGGGGTCATAAGTAGCTTTGGATCCTTTTTGACATCTGGCTAGTTCAGCTTCATTTTCCTAACTGAGAGTTAATCTGCCATGCAAGTCCAACCCTCACTTCTCTCCAGGAGTGGCTCCCAGAGTCTCTGGGCAGAGCTGGATTGCCTCTGTGTAGTCAGTAGTAAAATGCCCTGATGCTTCCAGTAAACAATGTTTTTGCAGAAGTGGTTCCTCTTCAGGATACCATTTCCCTGGTGACATTTGTTTTGCTCAGGGATGTGTGCATCTGTGCTGTCCTGTCCACTGCAGCACAAACACTTGGCTTCCTCCCAGCTTGGCTGAGCTACTAATGTGATGCTTTTTGTGTGTTCAGGATTAAAAATAATGGGTTCCTCTGAAAATTACAAACAGACTGAGATGTTTTGTCTTTCATCTACAATTTGGTTTTTGTACCTTTTGAAAATGCAGCCTGTTTTACATGTTCCTATTCAAGACTTGTTTGCAGTCTGGACTCTGTATATACAAAGAGGTATATATCTTGCAGAACTATGAATACCAACTTTCTTCTTTTCCAGATGAGCTGGGAAGTGAAAATGTGAAAAGGTAAATTTTATGAATATCACTCTTTTTTTGTTTTTTTTTTACTCTTGTACTCTAACAGAATATTATGACTTTTGGGTCCTTTAACATCTGTTTTAATTTTACCATACACTAAGCATTATTACCTCTTGCCACCAATTGCACCAGGTAACTACCTCTATAGGAGGCTAAAGTGTGACCTGAGTATCTGGCTGAAGGTGTAAGACTAGAGCAGGAGAACAGGAGTTACTGTGACTGAGGCAAGCACTGCCCCACAGGCAGCCACAGCCTTCCTGTGCCTACTCTATGCACCTCCTGCCCCATCAGCCACAAGACATAGAAGGTGCCTCATGAGCAAAGGGGATCAGTTCCCAGGCTCATCACAGGCTTTTACTATTCAGAATGAGCTCTGTGTCCTGCTCCCCTGTTTTTCAAGTTTGTCTTCTCACTCAGAGTTGAGGCAGAAAGGCTCACCTGGCTGCCACAGAAGCAATGCCTTAGCTGCTGGGAAAAAGCCAAAAGCTGTTTGGCTCTTATCAGAATAATAATTTTTATTGTTGCCTTTTATTGAGCTCCATCTTGCTAATCAATGCTGAAAATTCCTAAATGGGCTTTAGGGAGGAACAAAGTCTTTTTTTGCTAAAAGTATTTTTTTCCGTCACATGACTGTAGGAGTGATAAGCAGAGGGAAGCTAAGTGAAGGCATTTAAATAAATGTGGAGTTACTCTGTGCATGACCTTTCCTTTTGAAGTCACTGAAAATGTCAGTAACAGTTACAACAAAACTTTAGGCCCTCTGCTTTTATCACTGGAGCAATGGGACATTTGCCATGTGCTCCACCAGGGCAGAGACAAACTATTTTATTTTCCAGTTTTCTATTTACAGCAGGGACAGTTCTCAAGAAGTCCTGTGCCTGGCACACCCCAGGATTCACTGCCCGAGTCCCTCTGCGTGCTATGTCTCAGCCAACCCTTCCTCTGCCCAGGATTGGCATCTGCTTGTGGCTGTTTGGTTCACACCCACTGGGCTGACATCTTCTCAGGTTGCTAAGCTAGGATGGCTTTCCAGAGTTTATTCACATGTCTGGAATTATGAGTCCTACAAAACTACTACATTGGAAGTTGTTTGAGTTGAGCATTTTGTGTAATGCTTTTTTTTCCCCCCTCTCTCTTCTCTCAAGTCCTATTTTTGAAGAAGACACACCCTCTGTTATGGAGATAGAAATGGAAGAGCTTGATAAATGGATGAACAGCATGAACAAAAATGGTACACGGTAACCCCTATACTCCATCATCCCTTTCTTGCCAGCTGATGTAGGTCCCATGCATAGAAAATCAATGTGAGGCTTTTCCTATGTGCATCACTGCTTTTCCTACAACATTTTTCTTTCTGTTCTTGACTCCTTGCTACTAAAATAACTGCACAAATGTCAGGGGTAGAATTTTTCAGAGGAGTATTTTAGTTTGTGTGGGAGTTTATTTTTAACACATGATGGAATCTCATAAATGTTTTCAGTTTCCAGTAGACATTTCTATTAAACACATGTATAGCTGTGAAGAGTATTTATATTTTTAAATATACAGTATTAATGCTAAATAGTAGTTTCTCTAATGCATCTAGTCCTTTCAGTCTTCAGAATTTCTGAATTGTGCTCAGCATTGTGATATTGTAGAAGAAATATGCATTTGCTCATAGTTCAGACCACCATTTACTTAAAATTGCTGCCAGGAACCTATGAAATGTCCTTCCCCTCCCCTGCAAGTCTATCAGTCCATGTGACAAATAGAACCTGTAGTAACTACCAGCAGCAGCATTTTCAGTTCCCTTCTCAGCTACTTTTAAGTATTTTGTATTTTCCCCTCCATTTTCCTCCCAACTGAAATCTTTCAGCTACTTTTAAGTATCTTGTATTTCACCCTCCATTTTCCTCCCAACTGAAATCTGGTCAAAATCTCTAAGGGCCCTGCATCCTCCTTCAAGGCTCTCCTCAAAAAATACTGGTCTTTGGTAAGGCAAGAATTAACTGAGGCCTGATTTTGAACTGCAAACAGCTTTTCACTGACTAGGAAATGCTGAAACACTGATATTTTTTTCATTCCTGGTCCCTTGCCTTATGTCCAAATGGCTCATTTGCCTGACCTCCTAGGGAAGCTTTGTTTTACAGGACATAAAACTCTTTGGAGCATTTCTCCACATTAGCAGGGTGCTCCACATGACAGGGGTTTGACCTTCGCTGTTTTGTAAGCTCTAGTAGAAAACATGTGCTAAGTGGCAGTGGTGAAAGAGAGGCCTGAAGTGTACTGCATGGGGAAATAGTGTTGTAAAATGGTTTTTTTTTTTAAATTCTGTGGAGAGAAGGGAGCAAGTATTTTACACACTTCTGTGTGCATGTGTTAGTGTTCCCTGAACCCCAGTCCCAAATTCCCAGCTGGACTGTAAAGCATAGGTGCAGCTATAAGTGGTGGAAGATTAACAAACAACTCTCTCCATGGTATTTTGTAGGAAACAGTCCTCAAAAGCAGTCCATTAGTATAGGTGTACATAAACAACAGATTAAATAAATATGGCAACACCTATCAAAGGGAAGGAGGATTTAAAACGTGTGACGTTTATGCTATAGGGACTGTGCAGAACAAAGGGTGCAGAAGAGCATCTGCAGATCTGTATTCTAGACACTGCATGACGAAAGTTGATGTATTTTAGAAATAAATGTAGAAGAACTTCCAAGAGTAACCCTAGTCTTGTTTCTTACCCTTTTTCAGCTGACTGTGAATGTTTGCCTACTGTAAGAGAAGAAGAGAAAGAATCAATTGCCAACCCAAGGTACTTTAATTCATTGTATCATTTGAAGACGTATGGTCAATGGCATTCTAAAACAATGGGGTTTTTTGTACGCAATTATAGAATGATTCTTGACTCTATTTAAGATTTAAAGGTTTTGTATATAGGGACTTTGGCTTCAACTTAAACAAAAGGTTTGACGCTCTTATTTCTAAACAGGTCTCTGCTTGTAAATTGCACCACTAAATAATCTTGCAGTTCTAAACTGGTGCAAGACAGACAACCAGATGGCACAGATGGAGTTTCACTTGCTGATCAGACTTTAATCACAGTTTCCCAAGGTGTTAATACAAGCATTCAGCAGAGCTTCCTTGGCAGTCTTCACCAGCACAGACACCCAGTTCCCTTCTGCCACCTGGTGCCTATGGTCCCTCAGAACCATTGCCAGATGCTTTGGCTGGAGCTGTGACCTGACAGACAGGGACTTGTCTGACCCCAAGAGAAAGCTGAAGGACCTTCCCGGTGTCCCCATGCAGCACTCCCCCAGAGCTGGCACTGGCTCCTAGTCCAAGCAGAGATCCCAAAGGGGTGCAAAATAGCAATCCCAACAGCTTGTAAACTTAAAATCTTTCTGGCTGGTTTCCTCAGGATTTTCACCATAACTCCTAAGCCCCTCTCAAACTTCCATTTTCCCTAATTAAAATTTCTGGTTCCAGCTGGAAGTAAGAGGCTGTACATTGCCCTTGCCTGCACCCTTGTGCTGCAGCTGCGTTTTGGGGAGTGGACAAAGCAGCTCCTCTGTGCCAGGTTATGGTAGCAAACAATTAAACATCCTGTGTGCCAAGAAAATCCTTGGTGCAGTGAAAGCAGTGGTGCAAGCAGGCAAGGCCAGGGGGAGCAGGGAGGGGTGGCAGGAAGAGGACCTATGTCTTCTGCTTCCCATGGCACCAGATTATTCAGCTGAATATGCCTCTCTGGCAGAGCTGCACCTCCCACTGTAGACTGTCAGAACACCACAGTCCATTTTCCTGAGTCTCCTTGCTCAGGAGTGAAACAGCAGGGATGTTAAACTGCTACTGCCGGAGAGTTTGCAACTCCTTTGCTCCATAGCTGCAGTTTCAGGGGAGCTTTTGGATGGGGCTTGTCCACTGCAGCCACTTGTATTTAAAAGGTTTCTGCTAATGCCTATTGCATAAGGAATCATGTTGTGTTGTGGGGTTTTTGTCTTAGTTTAGTTTTTTAGTTTTGCTTTTGAAAAAAGTCTTAGGTCCTAGGTTCCAGATGCAAGCAAGTGCAATAATTTTACCCTGAGCAGCTGGAAAAGATCCTGGATTTGCCAGCCACCTGGGTTTTCCCTTCCTGCCTCTAAATGATAACTTAGAGGGGGAAAATTGTTAAGGAGAGGCAGCTGCACAGTTGTTCTCTAAAAGCAGATTTGCTGAGCATACCACTGACTGTAGCAGGGAGTATAGGACAAATCGTGCTTGAGGTATATGCAAACACCAGCAGAAGTCAGTCATATTCTGAAAGGCTTTTTAAGCACAACACCATCATTAAGTTTACTTTCCAAAACTTAAACAATTCACTTTCAGAAAAAAAATATTTAAATCCTCATGACTTACCAGTTTGAGCTGGCATTTTAAATATTGTCCTTCCTAAAGTGCTTTTGTACTGGATTTGTCTTAACCCTATCAGAAGGAAGGGTTTTTGCTCCTGGCTGTCAAAAGGCATCTTTAGGCTACATCCTACCTCAAGCTCCACAACTGTAGAATGAGTTATTGTCACTTCAAGACATTAGTGAGGCTTAAAACCTGATGCAAAATAGCAGCCCTGTTCAGATAAGTATGCTTCAGTCAGAGCGAAGGCACACACATTTTCTTGTGACTGGTGTCTCAGAATCAGGCTGTAGAGAAATTTATGCCTCTAAATTGAAGGGCAAACAAATGCAAATAAAAATAGAAGATTTATCTCTAATACATTCAGAGCTGCTCAGACAAAGAATATTAGTTGAATACAAACTGCAAGATTATTAGGTTCAATTTCAGATTCTGAAAGACTGATTTGTTTGGGCAAAATTCTTCTCAAATTATGGTAATTTCTTTTTTTCAATTTTATTGATGATATTTCAGTATGGGAAACATCTCAAGGCCTCACTGAACACAGATGGCTGAGTGTTGTTTTCCTGCTTCATAAAGATGCTGGGGGGGAGTTCATCAAGACCCAAATGTTCTGAACTATAAATGATTGTGATGTAATTTTGAGATATGAGACATATGAGACTAAGCATTTCAATAATGACATTTTGACATTTTCAGAATGAAAGTTGTTCCAAAACTACTTTTCAGAGTAAGTGACTTTTTCATATAAAAGTTTTAAAACGTTTAAAGAACAGAACCCTGTGGTGGTAAAATATTTCCAAGTTGAGTGTTTCCCTTAATTCAAAGCTACTTCAAATTTCATTTCACATGAAATTTGGAAACATGCTTCATTTCAATGTGAAAAGATATCTGAAGTGGTGGGACTTCTGGCTAAATAAACAAATAAGTTGGTTCCTGGTTTACTTCTGCAATTGAACCTTAGCAGACCAAGACCTGCTGCTTTTCCTGACCAAACTCTTACTGAATAAATAATGTCAGAAACAAAACAACATACAGATAAGCAGATGTTTTCAGCAGCTCTTTTGAGCAAGAAAAATGAAAGACTATGAAGTAAAATGAAACAAAGTTATTATTATGGCAAAATCTGTACTCAGGGATATCAAGGTGCACATTTGTGCACAGGAGGCAAAATGTGACAGCCTGGGCTCCTTGGCATGTAAGCTAAGTTACAAATATATATATGTATATACATTCTCAAAATTTATATACATTTTCAAAATATATATTTGAACTAATGTATCTTGCCTTTGAAACCTGGTGCTGAAATCCTGATCGTGCCTGAGTATGGAGCCATGGAACTTCCCCAGTCTCGCTGGGGTCAGGGCTCCCATCCCATGCAGGAGGGAGAGGTCAGTGGGCTCAGGGGTAGTAGGCAAGGGCTGATGCTCCTGGAGTGCATGAGGGGATAGAGGACCAGTCTCTGCTCCAGACGCTTTTACTCCCCCAGCAAAATAAGCACAGCCTGTCTCCTTCACAGCATGGGTCTTTGCAGGGTGCAGAGTACAAGCAATCCTCCCCCTGCTTTGTCACACTTCCAGAGAGGTTTGTTTTGCCTTGGGTGCTGCTGGGCACCCTCCTAGTCTTTCTGTCTGAAAAGAGGTGACTCTTTCTTACAGAGAGATGTTCTGGGTGGGTAATAAGTCAGTACAGAAAGAAGCCTTGCACTGCCAGGGTGTGCCTCAGTTTGGCAAGAGACTTAGAAACTCATATAAAATATTATGATTGGCCCTTTTAGCTTCAGTGGTGGTTTAAAACCCTGCAGTTAATTCTGACTGATACCCAGTCAGCCAATAAAAAATGTGACATTTTTAATGTTGGCATGAACCAAACATTGTTAAGAAAGTGCTAGGGAGCAGGCTAGCTGGGCAGAATCTGGTGGGACAAAGAGAAAATGCACATTATGTTATCCTTACCTGTGGAAAGAGTCTTGGGAGCAGGAGAAAGACTGTGTTGGGCAGCCACTAACCAGAAGAGAAATCAGAGCAGTCCTTGCTGCCAGCATCTAGCACCACAGATGGGGTCAGTTTATCAGTTGCATGACTGACAAATTTGCTTTCTGATAACACCTTCTCATGGACTCCAGAGATACTTTTGCATGATATTTCCTGCTTAGACATCTAACCCAACAGCATGACACTGGTGTGGTTTTTTTCTTTTCCATTTATACACAGTGATGGTGAATCATGAAGTCAGAAGAGCAAAGAACTGGCTGAAGAGAAGCAGCACACAAGCTAACCATCCCCCAGACACTGGAAGAACTGGATTTAAAAGCAATTCATCTCCAAAGGCTAGAGAAGCAAATGCTTTTGTTGTGTCCTGCTATATACAGTCTTCAGAAAGGAAACATCACCAAGGGGAAGGAAAAAAATCAAAGCACTATAGCAAGATTAGGGACTGATTTAAATTCTTTCTGCAATGAGATTCATTACAAATTAAGAGAAACATCTTTCTTCCCCCCCCAAATGTTCTCAAAATAGTCCATGTTTCTGTCTAGTCCTGCAGTTGTGTATTGTGCAGCACTTGAAACCACTTCTGTTCCGGGTTTGGTGTGTTTCTTTGGTTTGGTTTGGTTTGGTTTTGTGGGTGTTTGTTTCGACATCCATAATTCTGGACTGCCCTGGTTTGGTGGATGAGGAGCTTGTGCCTATGCAATGTGTACTTTTCAATGTGCTTTTTGTGAGCAGTGCACTGATTTGCACAGGGCTGTGCTGAGGAAGGGCTGGCTGGGACTGGCAGACCAGCTCTGAGGACACATGGAGCAGCTGAAGAACCTCTGAAAGGAACAGCCGGAAGCGATCGCAGCCCAGCGAGGCATGGCCTCGGTACTGTGCTCTTTGGTTTTAAAATTAAAAGCATTGTAGAAGTGAAAACCATTATTTTGAGATTGTGTTTCACTTCCTTATCTCCACAGATGTGTGTCCTGGGTTAGCTCTCACCGTGTAACCCTCCTGCCTGCCCAGGGCTGTTCTCTAACCACCTACTTCAAGAATGCCCAACCTGAAAACATTTCCTTTTTAAGAAAATAAAGGAGGGTGAAAAATTGAACAATTCAGTACTCACACAAATCACAGCTTTGTATAAATATGTGTTGTGCATAAATACTTGGTCAAGGTTTTCAGATGCAATAAGTTTTCTGCTGCTTCTGTTTTTGAATATTGAGCTTGCAATATCTGAAAGACATGGACCTCTAAGTGTGCCTGGTCACCTTTAATTACACTGGAAAGAATCATACTCCTGAGATACCTCAAGGTAGGAATACAAATGTTGTAACTGTCCATTGATTTTAGATAGCATTTCTCTTAGGGATATAGTTTAAATATGTAACACAAATAAAAGTAGATCCCTGTTTGTGTAAAGCTTCCCTCACTTTATTTAAAATAGCAA